GGGGTTCTGAGGCTGAGAGTGTGTGACCTGCCCAAGGTCACCCGGTGGGTTTAATGGCCAAGTGAATTGAACCCTGGTCTCTAGAGTCACAGTCAAAACACTCAACCAGACTGAATTCTATATATGTCTACTCAGGAATAAAGCCTGGTAATGACAGCTGTCAATCATGCTCAATTCTGCGTCTATTATTATTATTATGTGCCTTCAAGTCATTTCTGACTTATGGCGACCCTATTATGGGGTTTTCTTCTCAAGCTTCTTCAGAGAGGGTTTGCCATTGCCCTCTGAGGCTGAGAGAGTGTTCCTTGCCCAAGGTCACCCCGTGGGTTTACATGGCCGAGACGAGATTCGAATCCTGGTCTCCAGAGTCCTAGTCCAGTGCTCAAACCACTACACCATGCTGGCTCTGGGTCTATACTGAAGTTAAGCACCAAAAGAAAACCCAAGGAGGAAAAATATTCCGAACAGATAAAGTAAAAAGTATTAGTAGGACATTAAGTAATATTGCGAGAAACATGGGGAAGGAAAAACAACAAAGCCTATATAGGCAATGCGGCATAACAACTTAGAAGGGCATATCATACAAGCAAACGGCAACGATATAATTATTTCATCAGCAAATAAATGACAACTGTATAATTGTTTCAACAATAAATAAGTGTTAGTAAGCTAAGCCAGTATGGCATTACAATATGACAAGATGTAACAACTTGTAAAGACATATACAGCCAGATAAAAGCTATGTCGCAAGAGATGTTGCAATGCCAATAAATAGTCCCAAAGCCAGATGTGGAATTTCACAATTAAAGCGAAAGCCATAGAAATATCCAAGTTTGTCCAAAGATCCGTGTGAATTCCACACGGGAGCAAAATAAAATCCCAATAATAAAGTCACAAACAATATATTAGGATCCGGAAATTCTAAGTACTGTATGTGTAGAAATTTGCCGTATGAACCTAGAAGACAAAAATCAAACAAAAAGGATGCAAACTTACCACTTCAGAAATAAAAGAGGAATAAAAAGAGGGGTGGAACAGACAAAATAGTAAGAATGTAATAAGAACTCAAGGAGGTGGAATAAGGAAAGCTATGACTTTCCCACCCTCTTTTTATTTATTTTCCTGTTTGTTAAGCTCTTTACTCAATGATATCTCATTGTGAGAGTACAAGCAGTAAAAGGAGATACAAGGGGAATAATATATAGGAGCTAGCATACTAATTATTGCATATAAAAGGGACTTGTGATATTTATTTTGTTTGCATGTTTGACGGTTTGAATTTGTGTCACGTAGGATTATTTGTTGTTTTTGTATACACAATGGGAAAAAATGAATAAAAATGAAAGTACAAAAACAGAGAAATAAAAGTGAATATCAAGTCTTGAAAGGTAGCACAATACAGTTGTAGGTGGGAACCATGTGTCTGTCTACACACACACATATATTAGATAGATAGATACATAGATAGATAGATAGATAGGACAGATAGCTTGATAACCGAACTGCCAGTTCCACATAACAGATTTCCTTTTGTCCCTCTGATTTTCCTTTGCTGTTTGCATGTTTGGAGTTCAGAGTTAATCTGAATAGAAGAAAGCTTCCAGGGCTGCAAAGTAAATCTCGGTTTCCATGGTGCAGATTCCTGGGCTGCAAAGTGATGCTTTGTTCGATGCAATGCCTTGTTGCATCCACATGGCAGAATTAATGCAGTTTGATATCGCTTGAACTGCCACGTCTCCATTCTGTGGAATCCTGGGATTTGTAGTGTGTTGTGGCACCAGAGCTCCCTGACAGAGAAGTCTAAATAGCTCACCATACTACAAATCACAGGATGCCATAGCACTGAATCACAGCCGTTAAAGCAGTGCCAAACTGCATTAACTCTGCAGTGCAGATGCAGCCAGGAGTCCTTTCCAGGTCAGGACCAGACAACACTGCAAAGCCTTTCTCTTAGGCTGCTCTTTAGCACCAGGGCTGTGGCCCTCCAGATATTGATGGATTGTAATTCCCAGCATTCCTCACCCCTGGCTATGTTGGCTAGGGCAGCTGGGGCTTGCAGTCAATCACACCTGGAGGGCTGCATGATTCCCACTCTAGAAATACATTGTACGTTCTTTGTTGTTGTTATTCGCCACCAAATTGACTTTGACTTATGGCAACCCTATTAATGAGAAACCTCCAAGATCCTTGGTCATCAGCTGCTCAGGTCTTGCAAACTCAGGGCTGTGGGTTTCTCGATTGATTCAATCCAGCTGTAGTATGGTCTTCCTCTTTTCCTGCTGTAGGTTCTACAGCCGTACGTTCCCTGAGATATGAAGTGCATCTACACTATAGAAATAATGCAGTTTGACACCACTTTAAATGCTGTTGCTCCATCCTATGGAATCCTGGAATTCGTAGTTTTGCAATGTCTATAGCCTTCTCTGGCAAAGAGTGGTGGTACGTCACAAAACTATAATCCCCAGGATTCTGTACTCTGGAGCCATGGCAGCTGAAGTGATATCAAACTGCATTACTTCCACAGTGTAGATGCACCCACAGACAAGCTTCTTGGAGGTCTTGTTTGCTCTGTTAATTTAGGAAGGTATTTTTTTTTTAAAAAATCCCCTTGAACCTCTGTTTGTCAATGACACTGAACTCAGAATTGATGCTCTGGCTGTTATATTGTCCACCAAAAGATGATATACTATTTGGCTTTAAGAAGTTTATATTAAATTCAGATTTCATTTTAATGGGGTTTTCGTAAGACGTAACCTTTCCACACTCCATTATTTCTTTTAGATTAAAAATCTGCTTTAAACCATCATTTCAAATATTCATGCTTTAAGGATCATCTCAAATTCGCCCTGCTGGAATGCCCTTTCCCCCAGCTCTTTGGTTTCTGCATCTGACAAGTGAAGATTGCCAGAGTATGTCTGCATTACAAGGGGAAAATGAGTATTTTCTCCTTGATCCCATTATTTGAGGGACTGTGGAGCAAGAAGGGCAGATCTTAATAGTTCCCTTTGGAGTGTGGGTGTGTGCCGGTTTGCATTTTCAATTTTCTGATTCTTTGCCTCCCCTTTATAAAGATGTGGTTCTGAGACGCAGGGAGCAGCATAAATGTTAAATGATGTTTTTAAAAAATGTGCCATTGAGTGGATCTGTTTTATCTGTGTTTACGATGTGTCAGTGGCTAATGGACTTTCAGGGCAATATTTGTGATGAGTTTGCCCACTTTCTCAGACCACAAAAAGCTATGACTGATGCTGTATTTGCTTTTATCTCTAGAATGAGCAAATGGTCCATGCTATTAAGTCCAGCAATAACCAAGGGCAAAAATGCTGTTCCACTGCAGCCTTTTCACACAAGTTCTCTTGGGCAATCCTCTTCTCATTGATCCTGGCAATCCTTCCACACTGTACTATTACAGCACTATAATTCCACTTTTAACACCTGCAATCCCATACTATAGACTTCTGGCGTTTGCAGCATGGGAAAGGGTACATAGAATTCCCCAAACTAGAATTCCCCAAACTATACAAACCCCAGGACCCCATTGGACAGAGCCATGGCAGTTAAAGTGGATTCATTATTTAGGCTCCAATAAGTTTTCCTTCCCAGTAATAAGCTGTAGCTGGTTTGCTGCTGATGGAGGCCACACTATCACAGATCTTCTGCCCTGCTTTGTATATTTTACCATCAATGCTCTTGTGGTTGTTGTTGTGTGCCTTCAAGTCATTTCCGGCTTATGACCACCTTAGGGTGAATCTTATCATGGGGTTTTCTTGGCAAGTTTCCTCAGAGGAGCTTTGCCATTGCCATCCCCTAAGGCTGAGAGAGTGTGACTTGCCCAAGGTCACCCAGTGTGTTTACATGGCCAAGTTGGGATTCGAATCCTGGTCTTCAGAGTCCTAGTCCAAACCACTGCACCACGCTGGCTCTCATAAATGCACTACTCTACAAGATATAGTAAGACTGCATCTGCACTGCAGAAATCATGCAGTTTGACACCACTTTAACTGCCACGACTTTATACTATGGAATCCTGGCATTTGCCATTTTGTGAGGCACCAACGCTTTTTGGCAGCAAAGTCTAAAAACCATGGAAAACTACAAATCCATAGCATTGAGTTAAAGTGGTATCAAACCTCATTATTTTTGCAGTGCAGATGCAGACAGAGGGGGGTTGCAGACTGCCAGAAATAGTGTGAATTCAGTCCACTTTTAGGGTTAGGGTTAGTGCTAGGGAATCATGGGAACTGTTATTTTCCTGAGACATTGAGCCTTCTCTGTCAGACAACTCTGGTGCCACAATAAAATACAGTTCCCATGGTTCCCTAACTCTAACCCTAACCCTAAAAGTGGACTGAATTCACACTATTTCTGGCAGTCTGCAACCCCCGTAAGTCATTTTTTTTAACTTCAAAGTTATATTCTTAGGTCACAAAGGTGGCAACTAAATAATCCGGTCAGTAACAGTGGCTACGAACAACAGGAGATGATGTAAATTATTAATGATAAGGTGGGTCCATGCTATATCCTGGCAAGATGAAAAACAAATCAAGCCAGAAGAAGACTGAGCTCAGGAGTAGGTTTGGCACAAAGAAAAGAAAATCCGTCTTCACTCAGCCTATGATTGACTTATGTAATTCACTCTTTCAAGATGTGGCAGCGATGGGCCCTAATTAAATTGGCTTGTTAAAAGCATTAGACTTAATGGATGGATCGATGGAGGGATAAGATGCCATGGGAATGTTGAACCATCTCTCTTGGCAGGTTGATCCATTCAAGGATTCCAGAAGAAGGAAACCTTTCGATTTTCGATGCTAACACAGCAGCTTGTCTGAATGTGGCTGTGCGGGTTTTTAATTCAAGTGATGCAAAAGGATAACAGAATACCCACCTTTTCCTATAAACCTTTGCAATCTGGCCTGGCTCTTCACCCTCCAACCTGGTGCCAGCATTATGTTGCTGGTCCCATTTTTCATATTTGAGAAGCTGTGTAAGAAACTTGTCCATGAGAGCTAGTGTAATGGTTTGAGTGTTAGACTAGGACTCTGAGAGACCAGAGTTCGAATCCCTGCTATTTATTTATTTATTTATTTATTTATAGTATTTCTACCCCACTCTCCAGCCACAAAGGTTCTCAGAGCTGCTTAGAAATGGTTAATTTATAGGCGTTCCACCTTACAATCTAAATAAGACACACAAGAAAAAGGGAATGGCAATGGTATGAAGTCCAGCAGATTCTACCACTTCTTTCCCTCTAAGACCACAGCAAGGGCACTTGAAATGGATGGAGGACCTTTCATCTGCTACATGGCATAGGCATGATGGAGCTATGACCTTGGGCAAGAGCCACTCTCTCAGCCACAGAGAACAGCAATGGCAAACCCCCTCTGTAGAAATCTGGCCAAGAAAACCTTAGAATAGGGTCACCCTAAATTGAAAAGAAAGGCACACAACAAGCATGGAATTTATCCATTTCCCAATTAAAGAAAGAAAAGTTTAAGAAAGGTTAAGGATAAGGAAAGGAAATCAGAAGGGGGGATATCATATATATTGAAAGGATGGATAGGATAGAAATTAAATAACAAATATAATTAAAGTAGAATAGATAAATGGAAGACAAATAAGAAAATCAGAGTATATATATTAGAGAGCAAAACAATGGATAGAAAGGTATACAATAATTATATATAAAGATAGAATAAAACAGTGATAATTGATGTATACTGGGAAAAAAATTATATGATCAATGTGGGTTTGTTTTTTTTAAGAAAACTTGATTATGGAGATTATTGAGATGTTTGAGATACTGTGATATTTGGGCATTATGACATTGAAACACTGATTATATGACGATAAATTGTATTGATATTGTGTTTGGGAAATGAATAAAAATTATTGAAATCTATCTATTTCCCAAAGAGCACTAAAGGATGCCCTTTGGTGCCATCTGCAGGCAACTTTTGTAGTGGAGAAGAAGAAGAATAGTAAATTCAAAATGTGACATTTTGAATATCGAGATTAAAAACATAAGTGGGTTTGAAACATTGCAGTGCCTTAGTCAAAGTGATGGGTGCAAATGGCTTTGCAGAAGAGGGATCACAGTGTGCTCTGTAGGGTTCCCTGTTCAGGATCATCCCAGGTACCCAGGTTGTGTTGTTCAAACACACATGCACACACAAAGGGAGACAAAACATATTTTCCTGTTGTTCTATGGGAATTCTACAATTCTGTAGCTCTGTGAGACATGTAACCTTCTCTGGTCCAAAACACACTGCAGAAATAATCCAGTTTAAGAGTGCTTTAACTGTCCTGGCTTAGTGCTATGGAATGGGAATTGTAGTTTATTGTGGCACCAGAGTTTTCTGACAGAGAAGGCTAAATCTTTCACAAAACCATGGTTCACAGATTCCCTAGCATTGAGACAGGATAAGTAAAGTGGTCTCAAACTAAATTATTTCTGCAGATTATTTCTGCAGCCCTTGTGTCTCAAACTAGAAAAAAGGCAAAATATTGATGGTGATGGTGATAAAGATGAAGATGATAATTCCTCTGTTCCTCTTCCATCAACAATGCAGGTCATCCCAGATTGGAAAGAGCAAGAGTGGTCAGCTGAGAAACCAGAGAACTATGCTGGGATTTTCCATTTCCAGTTCTGGCGCTTTGGCGAGTGGGTGGACGTAGTGATCGATGACCGCCTGCCTACACTTCACAACCAGCTCATCTACTGCCATTCCAACTCCAAGAATGAATTGTGGTGTGCGCTGGTGGAAAAAGCCTATGCCAAGTGAGTAAACCCATCAGACGTCAGGGCAAAACAGGACAGGGTATATGGCAGGGGTCGGCATACCTTTCTTTTGGGCGGGGTGGGGGGCAGTTCCGGTGTCCCCAGATCGTTGGTGGGCCGAAGGGGGGGAAATGGTGTGGAAGTGTGTGCGCGAGAGAGAGAGTGAGCATGCATGCATACGCACTACTCCTGGCATTGTGCGCATGCGTGCACGCAATGCGGGGCGCCATTTTGTGTTCCAAAATGGTGCCCGCGCATGCATGCAAACGACGGTGGGCGCTATTTTGGAATGCAAAACGGCACTGCACGTCACGAGTGCATGCGCACGATGTCGACGCCGTTTTGTGTTCCAAAATGGTGCCCGCTGTCGTGCGAGCATGGGCGCCATTTTGGAACACAAAATGGCACCCCGCATCGCGTGCGCACTAGAAAGGCGGTGTGTGGTGGCGGCGGCAGCAGCAGGACTGGCCATGGGCCAGTTCAAAGGCCTCAAGGGGCCGGGTTTGGCCCCCGGGCCATAGTTTGCCAACTCCTGCTTTATGGTGCTTCCATAGAGCCCTATGGCCATTAGGAATTGCTTTCCCTACAATTCCCAGGTTTCATTGGGAACAGGTTCTTCTCTAGGGATCACACCCTGTGAATGGTATATGCAGGTAGAAGTCAAGCTTACATTTACATAATGCTTTTAATTTTTGGTTGATGCAGAAGTTGCCACTGACTTCCTTCCGCTGACAAAAGTCTCCCCAAGACTTCTGTGTAGAGCAGCAGGGAGGGCCCTGTTTATAATTCCGGTTCTACTGATACTTACTGGATAAAGTTGCTATTACGGTTGAATCTCCCTTATCCAAAATGCTTGGGACCAGAAGTGTTCTGGATTTTGGATTTTCTCAGATTTTGGAATATTTGCCTGTACATAAGGAGATAGCTTGGTGATAGGACTGAAGTCTAAACATGAAATTTATTTATGTTTTTTATATACCTTATACACATACTCTGAAGGTAATTTTATACACAAAATTCCTAATAATTTTGTGCATGAAACAAAAATTGTACACTCATTCCTCCATTTTTGTGGACTTCAAGTCTGTGGTCTCGGTCCTTTGCGGACCAGCAATTGGTGAGGGTTAAAATGGCATGAGTGCCCATGGTGCATGCCCAGAGCCATGCATAGGAGTGTGCGGCCATTCAGGTCTATGGTTTGAATATTTGCAAATTTCAATTTTCATGCGGGGGGTCCAGAATGGATGGAGGGCTGACTGTATTCATTGAACCATCAGAAACCAGTGCCGTCACTATCTCAGCCACCTGGATGGGCAGTTTTGGATTTTGAAATATTTTGAATTTCAGAATTTCAAATAAGGGAGGCTAAACCTGTAGCATGAATTATCTTTGTAGTAGCTAAGGGCTGGTAGTCATAATATTGGCTTTACTCCATGCATCCTTTTGCTTGTAGCAATAGCATACATCCCTCCTCAAATGGAGCATAGGATCGGTGCTGTTTGCCCTGGAATAAATATGTCTTTTCCCCCATATTCAGACTCTCAGGATGTTACGAAGCCTTGGATGGAGGCAACACAGCTGATGCCTTAGTGGATTTCACTGGCGGAGTGTCAGAACCCATTGATCTTTTGGAAGGAGGCTATGCAAATGACGAAGCCAAACAAAGCCTTCTTTTTGAGCGGGTCCTCAAAGTCCATAATCGAGGAGGTCTCATCAGCAGCTCCATCAAAGTAAGGAACCTACAAGAGTTTCTTATGTGGGGAGAGAGATTTCCAGATGTTAACAGTCCAATAGGAAAGAGAAATTGATCAGGGTGAGGGATGTGGACCCTGCAGCCAGTAGGCCAGATATGGCCATAGAGGATCTCCTTATAGCGCACCAGCTCTTGTGAAAAGTCTTGCACCCTTCTAGCCAAAGACCTCTACCTGCTGGCTTTAATCCAACTCATAGCTATGAAAATTGCTGTCTCTCTGCAACACCTGAGTTGAGAATCCTAAATCCATTGGGGGCTGTTCTCCATCACATCTGGAAGACATCCTATTGGGGAAGATTGCTCCAGAGCAAGAAAGAGCTGTATTTCATACCCTGAAATATTGCAGAGAATTGGAAGTATCCCTGGAAAAAAAAATCCCTAGGTTCCACAGAATGGAAACATGACCGTTAAAGACTGCATCTGCATCTGCACCTGCACTGCAGAAATAATGTAGTTTGACACTGCTTCACCTGCCATGGCTCAGTGCTGTGGAATTTTGGGATCGGTAGTTTTGTAAGCTATTTTGACTCCCGGGGGGGGGGGAGTTCCAAAGTTTGGGAACAGCCACCAAGAAGGCCCTGACTCCTTGTTCCTCCCAATTAAACCCAGAAGGTGATGGGACACAGAGAAGGACCTCTCCAGAAGATCTTGGCACTCTAATGGGCTCATAAATGGAAATTCAGTGCTTCAAACAGCCTGGAGTCTTGCTTCAGAGACTATAGCTGCATCTGCAGTGTCAAACTGCATTAATTCTGCAGTGCCAATGCAGTCTAAGAGATTGTATGTTGACCCCGGGACCAAACTGTGCCAATCCCTACATTATTGTTCTTTTTAATCCAGGCGCCTTAATTTTCTTCCATTTTGGGCATCCTTGCCGATTGTTCCTAGGCTAGGCTTCCTTTCAGTACAATTTCTAAATTGTTAAAGAACAACAACACACAATTGTCCTCATAAATGCTATTTTCTTCCTATGGCAAGGCCACCTCAGCCGCTGACATGGAGGCCCGCCTGGACTGCGGACTGGTCAAAGGACATGCCTACGCAGTGACGGATGTGAGGAAAGTCCGCCTGGGCCATGGACTCCTGGCCTTTTTCAAGTCAGAGAAGCTCGATATGATCAGACTGAGGAACCCCTGGGGGGAAAGGGAATGGAACGGCCCATGGAGCGACACGTGAGTAAGGCCAAAGTTATGGACACAGGGATCAGGACAAACATCTTGACATTTGTATATACCCTTCAGATGTCTCAGTTTAATTCTCCGCCATCCCACTTTTTCAGTTGCTTTTAAAGGTCCCAGTTTCCCTCTCCACCTCCCACTTTCCCCCTTTATTCTCATTTGCTGCAAAACTGAATTCAAAGTGCAAAAGTAGTTTGTATTCAGTTGACTCAGCGTTGGGGGAAAAGAAGAGGAGAGGGCAGGATCTTGCCCTTCCCAGTAGGTTCAGGGAAAAACAAACTGCTGCAACCTCTCCTAGCTTGTACATCCTTCCTCATTAATACCTTTCGTCATCTTGACCTAACACAGGCCCTGCTTTTCATCT